TGGAGCATCGGCCCAAGGTCCGAGGTGCAGGCTCCAAGGAAGAACCCTCGGTTCTCGCAGCAGCTAACATCGAATGCACGACAAAGAGGAAGCAGCAAGGAGAATCTCTGAACCAGCTCGCCCTACTATTCGAAGTAAGATAGAAGTGCCTAACAACACGGCGACGTCGTAAGACTCGCCGTTCATCAGCAAGGCATGATCCAGCAGCAAAGCCCAACCATCCAGTAGATCAAGGTCAGGAAAGAGAGGAGGTGAGCTCGGTGGCCACAGGAACAATGCCTGCTCTTTTGAGCTGGCCTTCCCCGGTCACCCGAGCTCCTATTGGCCCTAATGCCGAAAGATTTCAAGGTCCCGCCGCTAGACAAGTATGATGGGTCCTTTGATCCTAATGATCACATGGACGCATTCCAGTTCCACAAGCACCTTGCTATGGACGACGAGGCTTGTATGTGTGTGGCTTTCTCCACCATGTTCAAAGGAGTAGCTCGGACCTGGTATAGAAACCTAGCACCAGGTTCTATCAGAAGCTAGGCGCAGTTCGCAGATATGTTTTGACCCACTTCATCACTAGTAAGAAGTGTCCGAAGTCACAGGAGAGCCTTCTGAATGTAGTGTAGAGGGAGGGAGAGTCAATCCGTAGTTATATCAAACGCTTCAACGAGACATGCCTGTAGATACCGGACCTTGACCCTGCAGTACATCTTACCGCAACGCACAAAAGCATCACCCACAAAGAGTTCAAGTGGCACGTCATGGCCAACAAACCAAAGAACACCACCGAGTTCCTCCAGTTGGCAAATCAGTTTATCAGCACTAAAGAGGAGATAAACCAGAAAACTAACAACCAGCTAAGAGAAAAGAGGAAGAGAGAGGAAGAAGGGACGAACAACAAGAAAAGAAAAAAATGCAAGTCCTGCAAGCGAAGAAGCAAGTCCCTGAGCTTGAGGAGCAAATCCCCCTTGCATAGTTATAGGTCAAGTCAGTGTTCCAGGAGCCCTCCAATGGAGAGAACAAATTATATTCCCTTGAACACAAAGCGATGAGAGATCTTAATGGCAATCAATGACTCCTCTATCGTTAGATGGCCACCCAGACTCTATGGAAAGCCAACGACTAGGAATCCGAGCGTCTATTGTCACTTTCATCGGAACCATGGTCACAACACAAAAAACTATAGAAACCTCTACGATGAAATTGAAGAACTGATCCATCGTGGATACTTGAAAAAGTACACTCTACATGGGGAAAATGAACAAGGGAACCGATTGGCTATTTTTTATATGCATTAACCACGCAAAACAAAGAACATGATTGGCTATTGTTACTATCAACTTATAAGTTCGAGGCTTAACATCTTCAAAAATACATCCCAAAATGAGAAAATTTGATTTCAAGAAATCAATGCATAGTCCATGAGTTTGTCATAGGTTTATCATAAATTTCTACAAGTTTGCAGCCTCTATTGCTCTATAATGCCAAGTGTTCCTGCAACACAAGAAACATAGCAAACATATAAGAAAGTGATTATATTTGCCAAAAAAAAATAAAAGAAAGTGGTAAATTGAATTAATTAAGTTTTATTTCAAATACAAAGTGAGTTGACACAGAAATCATCCAACTATTTGGCCTTTTGGGCCACAAGGTGAGCAGGCCTAGAAACTAGGTGAAGAGAAGCAATTAGGCATTCTGTCTTCTAACTTCCATTGAATCAAAATTCACAAAGCATCCTATAAAGCAAGTTTTCAAAAAATCAAAATAGTATCAGTAAATAAAGGTAGACTCACAAAGCATCCTAAAGCAAGCTTTCAAAAAATAAAAAATGCATGAATGAGAAAATTTACCATACTCTACATAGTTTATTTATTTACAAAAGAAGGTAGACTCACAATGCTTCTACTTCATCCTTTAGCATTTCAGAACAGTTGTTCGTTTTCTCCCTATATATGTAATAATTTGACTTTGCCAAGCCCAACCATAACAGAAGATATACAATGTAAAAAAGATAAACAGAGCTTGGATCGGTATTGCCCGGGCACTGGAGTAAGTATTTCATATTGCTGTGTGCTGAAACTTCTTTGGAAGAGTTATTCCCTCAATTATTTCGAATAGACAAGAATAAGGATGCCTCAGTTGCAGAGTTTTATGAGATTATTGGGGGAAATGTGATTTGGAGTTCCAGATTCAGGAGAAGTTTCCGGGATTGGGTTGTTAGGCTGCTTCAGTTGTTGAAGGATCAGTATGTTGAGGTAAATCAGATGGACAAGTGGAGAATTTGGAGATAGAGATGGAATTATGATGGGAAATTTTCTGTTAAACCATTTGTGTGTGGGTTGAATGGGTCAAACTAAATGTGCTTTCCAACCAAGTAGGTCTGGAACACAATGTCCCCTTGAAGCTGAATTTCTTGGTTTAGGCTGCAGCCCTTTGTAAGTGTCTTACCAAGAGTTTTATTTTGAGAAGCAATTTGCTGATCTAGGACTTAACTGTGGCTGGGAGGCTGCGTTTGTTGACCATCTTTGCATCCATTTCCTGGTAACTTGTTGAGATCTGGTGGCACTTCATCAAAGCTGCTGATCTGAATTGGTCGATGCCTTGCTCAATGAAGGATTGCTGCTAGACTGGAGATTACCTGGCCTAGTAAGAAGGTGACTGTGTGGGATGAAAGGAATAGTAGACTCTCTAACATTAAAAGAAAAGGCATTGTAGATGACTTCAAGCACTAGAATATATTCCTGTTGCTGAACTCGAAGAGCTTATGCAATGAGCAATGTGATGTTTGTCCCAGGTGGGGGGACTGGTTTGTTTGTCTTGCTCTCTACTCTTGGGTGTATGTTGTATTTTTTTCTTGTGTATGTTACGCAATAAAATGCAATAAAAAAGACCGTTTGATTAAGATGCGTCTTTTTGCATGAAAATGCAATAAAAAAGTCGAAAAACTCCATTTAAAACTTCTCAAAATAATTTAAAACGGACTCCGTATGTCTTTTCAAGACAATATCTTTTGGTGGTTAAATCTTTTCCCAAACAAATGAGAAAAGACCAAAATGCGAACTGCCGGCCTTCTAAACAACCGACAGCCTGCGTGGAAAAGCACACCAAACGGGGCCTTAAATTTAAGAATATATAGCCAATGGCCCAGTAGCTTAATTGGTCACTCAGCCCCTAAAACTCATAAAAATTGGGGTCTATATAGCTTACTCAGTCACCGGTTCAACCGTTTGACCTGATTCAAGATATCCAACCTGGCAACACTTCACTTGTATCCTTGTCACGGTCATCTACTGCTCTGCCGTCTGGCCTAGATTTCACAACCATCAGCCTGGCCCAGCCCATTTTACTAAACAACCAAGTGGAGTCCAGGACTAAATAAATAAATGTCATATTGACAATTTTACATTGTGCTAGGCCCACGTACACTTTGAGGCCCATGCCTGTAGATATGGATTCACAATTTCACATTTTTTAATTTGGTGTATCGATATCGATAGCTTACGTTTCCGGTTTCCCATATCTGCCGTTCCCAACTGCGCAACTCGTATGGCTGATAAGAGGAGAGTCCCTACTCACCACTCACCAGATATTAATCAAATATTGGGTAAATTGCTAAAACCTCCTTGAAGTTTTTAACTGCTTCTGAAATTTTCCTAAAATTTGATAATTGCAATAACTTTTTGTAAACGTTCTAACACAGTTGCAAATAGACTCTGTATTAAAATATTAAAAAAAAGGCACAAAATATGTAAAATACCGATTAGGGCTGGTTTCTACAGAAAAAATAATACATACTTTATAAATAACTAAAAAATAAAAAATTTAAAGTTGTATCATTTAAGATATTAATACGAAGGGCAAACTTAAAAACTAAATTAATTTCAGAAAAAAAAAAGATCGAAAGGCTTCAACTACATGAATATTTTTAACATTTTTCATGTTTTATTAAAAAAACATTTTTCATACCTTTTTTCTAAAGGGAAATTGTCTAAAACTCACCATGAGTTTTCAACCTTTCCCTTAAACTCACAACTTTTCAAAATGTCTAAACCTCACCATGTTAGTAAGTTTTTATTTTCCAAAACCCACATTCTCTTAATGCACCGTTAATGCTTCTTAACAAAGGTGTCCATGTCAGCATAAATAACAATTTTCATGACCAAATTACCCTTGAATGGCGAGTTAGAGGAAAAATGCTATTTTCAGTTTTCAATTTTCTTGTTCTTTGCATTTTAGTGTTTTGTTATGATTTCCAATGTTTTTTTTTTTATAATTTCTGATTTTTTACATTTTCTATTTTCTACAATCTATGAGCTTTCCTGATTTTTTTGTTATTTATTTGTAATTTCTGTGTTTTTCTATGATTTTTATTTTTCAATTTCTATAGTTTCTATAATTTGAAAATAATTTTTATTTTGTTTGCAATTTCTATAATTTTTTATATTTTTTGTAATTTCTATCTTTTTATGTATTTTATATTTGAAAATATTTTTTGAACTTTTTCCTTTTTTCATGTCTAAATATTAAAATGGTAATATGTTAACACCCGTTAATTTATTTTGTACATATTTTATATTTTTCTATGAAGGTTAAAATAGTAATATATTAATTAACACCCGTTAGTCTATTTAACATCAAATTAGTGGCATGGTGAGTTTTAGACATTTTGAAAAGTCGTGGTGAGTTAAGAGAAATGCTGAAAACTCATGGTGAATTTTAGACACTTTCCCTTTTCTAAAAGATTCTAACAAAAGGAGTCTTGGAAGTGATTGCAATTACCAAAATTTAGGAAAGGTTGCAAGCTACAATCAGAAACTTCAGGGGAGAATTCAGCAATTTACACTTAGGCTACGTTTGGTTTGAGAGAAAAAGTAGGGAAAGGAAAGGAAAGGTAGGAAAACCTTTACAAACTTTGTATATGTTTCTCTACCTTTTCCTTCCTTTCCCTACCTTTTCCTTCAAACCAAACATAGCCTTAAATCTTCTGTTCCAACGATAAGGAGCCACAGAGCTCTATGGGAACCGAAACCGTAACAAGCGTCAAGCGGTTTCATTTGTCAGCGAAACCAGCCCAGCGATGACGGCCATGGCTACTCTTCCATCCTTCTCAGGTATCCCTTGGACTTTCCATCACAGTATCCGTCCTGCATCTCTTTCGTCTCTCAAAAGCTCGTATATTGTCACTCTCTTCAGTGCCACCAAGAAACCCAGAAATTCAGCAAGGCACAGGAGACCCATCTTGGCTCAATCGAAAGGCAACAATTCTGCAGACGTCCCAGATCGCTTGATATCTGCTGTCTGCTACTTCTACCCATTCTTTGATGGAATACAGTATGGGAAATACGTTATCACTCAATTCCCTGCCATCCAGATCCTCTTACAACCTTTGTTTCCGGCTATTCGAGTCTTCAAGAGCTTCCCGTTGAATGGGTTTTTGGTGTTTCTGACACTTTACTTCGTCGTCGTTAGAAATCCTAACTTTAGTAGATATGTAAGGTTCAACACGATGCAAGCTATAGTTCTTGATGTGCTTTTGATCTTTCCCGATCTTTTGGAAAGGAGCTTTAATCCCAGGGAGGGTTTAGGTTTGGACTTGATGATGAGCTTGGACAGTAGCGCTTTCTTGTTTCTCTTGGTCTGCTTGATTTACGGGTCCACGTCTTGCCTGCTGGGTGAGGTGCCCAGATTGCCGATTGTAGCTGAAGCCGCTGAGAGGCAAGTTCCATGATCTCCTTGTTTGATATGTTCATTATCTAAACCTTTTTCTTTTTATAGCTTGAATCAAGATGTTACATAGTTATAATATGCTACAAGAAACAACAACAAAGAGAGAGGGGGGGGGGGGGAGGAGTTAATGCTGTTGTATATTCTGGTTATTCAGCCAACGAGTCTGATTATTTCTTTGGGGATGGTTAATGCTGTTGTATATTCTGGTTATTCTGCTGTTTAAAGGACTGGACTCATGCTTTCCCTTTGATATTTAGAGATGAGAAACCAGTGAAACAGAATACAAACAAATTTGAGTATGAAGTATGAAGTATGAAGTATAACAGTGTTCTATTTCTTTCTGTCTGTATTTTCTTGTGTTTTCTTCTTTGACGAAACAGACCCCTAAATGTTTGACGCACTGAAGTAGGTCATCCACAATCCTCCCTGCAGATAAATTTTCTGTCAAATTCATCAGAGGACTAATATGAGTTCTATGGACCGGGGAATTTAAATCATCAACGGTCAATATCCAAGTCGACTGATATACATATATAACCCATATTTGCATTAACAATATAGGCATTTTTTTTTCATGTACTTCATGAACCAACTATTGCCTTTATGTTATCTGCACTCGTGTTATCCATCTCAACTTAAAGCATTTCAAATAACATATTGGAGAAGGGGGAAAAACAGAAGGAATTTGTCTGAATGTTTCTTTTATTTAGGGATCTCAAATGGGGTGTCAGCAAAAAGAACCATATTTTGCCGTAAAAAAAGGTTAACTGCCATCATCATCGTCATCTAAACCTTATCCCAACCATATGGGGTCCATTATAGGAATCATGTTTATCATTCTTTTCTGTTCAAAGTATATATCCATTGTTATTGTGGTTGCTTAAATAATTTCTTACTACTTTGATCCGTGTCCTTGTAACAGATCACATCTGGTGGCTACTTTAGTGGTATGCTATGCATATCATGAAATCATTTTAGGCTGCATTTGGCATTCCTTAATTTAAGGACTTACCTAGTTTTTGCTGTTAAAAACTCAGTGCTCGTAGAGGCATTTTAAGTGCAAAAAGGAGATAAAGTCCTTAAAACAAGGAATGCCAAATGCAGTTTTAGTCTATTTTCTCTTTTCATTTTAATGACTTCACTTATGGAAAACTCATTGTTTGGTCAAGAACAGCAGCTGACATGTAATCTACAAACCTCTGCTACAGTCTAAGACTGCATTTGCCATTCCTTATTTTAAGGACTTATCCCCTTTTTACTGTTAAAATGCCTCCTATGAACACTGAGTTTTTTAACTATAAAAAAGAGATAAGTCCTTAAAATAAGGAATGCCAAATGCAGCGTAAGACCATCAACCTGAATTCCCCAATTAGTAGTTGAGACGCATGTAATTTGGTTTAGACCCAACATTAGATGTGTACAAGTAAAGATAATTGGCAGGGGGAATAACATTCCCAAAGGTTGTTAATTCGGTGATCTAGATTTATGATTTGGTCAGGGTGACAACAAGGAGGGAGAGTCATACATTCTTACTCTGTAAACATCATGTTCTGTATTTGTACATTTTCCTCAAATTAAAACACTCCATTATAGACTATATTTCCATCTCTGCCTAATGATTTTGATTCCATGATGTGGGCAATGTCTGATGTCAAGAAATGAATTTGAAGTTGTCGTATAGGTTCCACAAGTTGGTGATTCATTCACTTAGTATATGTTAGGCATCAATGCTGCAGTTGCAGTTGCTGATGTGTGGGTTGGAAGCACTGTTTTCTACCTTTTTTTTGTTTGGAATCGTTGCTGCCAGGTAGGATGTTTTTTGGAGTAAGAACAACTTTTTCTGTTTGGTACCAATGCTCCAAGAAACGTTTTCTGCACTTCTACCCATTATCCAGTGTCACATCACTGATCCGTTGGCAGCAACGAGCTGCAGTTCTAGGAAATGTCAAATTTGGTGTTGCTCTAAGCCATGCCTTCCCGATTTCCAAGATGTGGCTTGGAGCACCGTTTTCTATGGAAAAACAGTTCCAAACATATGGCTGTTTCCTGGAACACCGTTTTTTCCTATGTGGCACTGATGTGGTGTCGTTGCTCTGGGAAACGGCAAAGATGCCAAACAGCCGCTTAGAAAAAGGATTGTAAATAGAATTCTGAGTAAGAAATTGGCACTGTGTAGTTGCTGTTGTTTTCAAGTTTTTTCAGCCCCAGATTTTGGACTGAAAGTATAGAATCAAGAAAAACTTGTTAAGTTGGAAAGACCAATTGCATTTTCATTCCCATCTCAATCCGTCGATCCAACAGCAAGGAAATCTCCATATTAACTTGTGCTTTAATAGAGAGGGCATGAGGAGGAATGCGTTTGCTGCATTGGAGGATAAAAATGAGTGTAGAATTCACAGTAAACTCCATCTCGATCCACCCCATTGTGTTGCTTCGCTGTTTTCTTGTCATCTCATGTTCCTACAGTTGCAAATGCGTGACCCAAAAAGCAGTAAATTGCTAAAACCTCCCATGAAATTGTGGATTGTTGCTGAAACTTCCCTTGAAGTTTGATAATTGCAATCACCTCCTTTGAACTTTCTAATGCAGTTGCAAATAGATTTCCTTTGTTAGAATCCTCACAAGAGACATTAAAATGTCAAAAATACCCATACATTTACTTTTTTTTTATAGCGAAAGGATTACCATTCCATTAGAAAATTATCATACAGTGAGTAAAGGAAAGGGGGAGGAGAATCAAAATAAGCAACCTCTCTATTCAGAGTTTGGGCCCTTTGGGCAGTCTCATGGGCCATCCCATTCCTAAGTCTAGAAATAAACTTAAAAGTTACCAAAATATTTACAGAATAGAACCTTATATGGTTTAACCAGATGCCACAAATTTGGGTTAACATCCATATCCCTAGAATTCAAAATATTCATAGTAGTAAAACTATCAGAGAAGACCAAAGTATTTCCAAGACGCTTGTCCATAGCAAAGAAAACAGCAGCCCAAATCGCACTTAATTCCATCTGCAACACCGAACCAACTAGTTGAGACTTTCTACCTACAACTAGAGGTGTCAATGGATCGGTTTTGGGTTGGATTCCGTCCAAATCAAAATCTATTTGGATGGATTGGACGGATCAATAAGACATATTGAATTTGGATGGACCAATATGACATATTGGATTGGACCTGGTCCATCCATAATGGATTTATATTGGATTGAGTCAGTATTTATTCCATTGATAGAAGATAAGAACATAGGTATCAATGGACCAGGTTTGAGTTGAAACCAATCTAAATTAACAGGAATTTGAACAGATTGGACAATCTATAGACTGTTCCAAAATGGTCCAAAATATTCATTGGACTGGATTGGACCGGTCCATTTGTAATGGACACACATTGGACTGGACCAGATTAGACCAAATCCAGACAACCCTACCTACAACTGCCAAGAAAGAGTTTGAATTAGTAAGACAAACAAAGGAAAAAGCCCCCTGTTCACTGGGAAGAACACTTCCATCACAAAAAATAAATAATCTGCCCCTTGAGACAATAGTCTCTATGAAGGAGTTAGAATATGTTGCTTACTTACAATCCCCTTTTCTTCTTCCAAATGAGGCATCAAACTAACATCCTCATTCATTGCGTTTTGGTAGTTCAGGCGTTATTTCTAAAAATGAGATCATTCCTAAACCACCGTATATATGGCACAAAATCAATGATAACCACATCATAAATCTTATTTAGTCTTGCTTATTACCGAGATGTTTTCTCTATATTCTAGTTATGAAATAATATCTAAAACTAAATTCTAACCCATTCCTATGATGCTTCCCATGAGAGAAGCAAACCAAATTACTCTTGCAAAAGGGCACACAAAAGAAAAAATACATTGTGGATTCATTCTCAACTTTACAAAAACAACACAAAGAAGAGTAAACAAAACCCCTACGTTTTAGAATTTCAGCAGTAACAACAAAACCACGAAGAATACGCCACAAAAAGAGTTTATATCTAAGCAACACAAGGAGGTTCCAAATTACTGAAATAACAGCAGGGTTCAACCCAAAAGTCCTTCCAATTAGCTGATGTTGGATGATTGAGCCTATAAATAATTTTCCTTTTTTAGCTAAGGCTCAGTTTGGAAGGAATACAAATGCAAATAATATGTAGAGTGCAAAACCTTATATTTTGTATTATTTTGTATGTATTTATACTGTATATATTAGCATTTGTACACTTTTCAAATTGAGCATAAGGCTTAATTTGGAAGAAGTACAAATACAAATATGTAGAGCAAGGATCAAAATTTCATCATATATCAGTCTGTATCGATTGATACGTATCGTATCAAAGCCTTCCTGATACACTCCTACAGAGGGTATTTTGAATCCGCAAGTGGTTCAGAGGATAGACCGACCTTAAACCGGCCCCTTTGAACCAGTTTCAAAAAAATAAATTTAAAAAACAGTACTGGTACATGCCAATACACTCTACCAGCGTATTGCCCTGTATCGATATTTTGAACCTTGATGTAGGGTGCCAACCTGCATCAAAATGTTGTCAACCTTCAAGGAAGACCTAAAAATATAAGTCTGGTTAATTAAGATTAGCCAACCTTCATCAAAATGCTGTCACAACACTATGTGATGAAGGAAGATTTGGCCCGACCTCACAATCGCGCCACGTGGCAAAAAACAAATAGCTCGGCACTTAAAGCAGCGTACCCAGGGTGCAAACACCAAAGGGAAGAAACCAGTAGTCCAAACTCCCCTCGAGGAGATCGAACTCCTTTCGAGGAGCCCGAACTCCCTACGAGGAGCCCAACCTCCCTACTAAGAGCTCGAACTCCCTACGAGGAGCCCGAACTCTCCCTT